AGAAATGAAGCGTTTGCTCTGTCTTGCAGTGTCACCAGCCACGTTCTTGGGCAAGTTCAGTACCGACAACGAGGAGTCTCCCTGCCTCTGCCGGGATGTATGTGCTCATCCTGCTATATAAGTATTTCCAAATTATTGGTAAATGAACTGTAGGTTACATCTGACTCAAAAAGGAGGCTAAAGGGAAGGTAATATTAGCCCTTTCACAGTTCTTTGATATAATGTATTATATTCTGCTACATATTCAGTGCTTTTTGTTTTTGTCCTTGTTCCGCTACTGAAAATTTTTCGCTCTTTAGTTCTTTTATCTGCTGCTGTGTGTAAGAATGGGTGTTTGCTCCGGAGAAAGTTGGGTGAGCCATGAATAGTAGAAGGTAGTTACTGAGGTAGAGATCAGATGTGTTTATAGGTCCTTTCAGGCCACAGACATATTCTACCACCTCCCCTGCTTTTTCCTTTGTTGCCAATATTAGTTTGGTATCAGCCGGTTAAGGTAGAAGTTTTGGCTGGTTTGGGAGATGATTTCCTTTTAGACTTGGACCAGAAGTCATAGCTAAAATGGTAAGACCTTTAGTGAGGCAGGGATGATTTTGAAACCTGAACTCTGCTGTTAACTGTCTTATCAGAGTGTGTTCTGCAAGCTTCGAAGGAAGGCAAGTGACAGCATTAGGGAAATACTGACAGTTCTTTGTTCAGCAGTGTAGTGTCATCCTGTGTGTGCTGATGTGTGCTGAAGACCCCTAAATGCACAGGGCCACTGATTGTAGCAATCCCATTTTTCTTCCTAATTAGCTGATGAAAGGTAGGGGTGAAGACTTTTTTTAAAGCTGGGAAGCCAACTAAGGTGCAAAACTAGATTATTAAGCTGTGGTTATTTTGAAGCCAATGCAATGCACTGAACTGGTGAAGTCCGTGTGGGCAGTAGCAGCAAAGGCACAAAAGGTCAAGCACGTCCATCCCTGCAGCTTGATGACACAGGGACCGGGCCCTTGAGTAGAGTGCCTGGCATCTGACAAGGTGCTGGGTCCCCTGTAATTAGCAGCTCTGTTTAGTTTAGTGATTATTGGGCTGCTGTAGGGCAGTGCTCTATTAGTAGTTTATATTGTGTGTGTGGTTATTTTATTTTATTTTTTTCTCTCTGTAATTGAGGTTGTGCGTATTCCAAGAGAAAATGAAAAGCACCAAGGAGACAAATGGATTCGTTTCTACTGGGGCTGCCTCGCTGGGTGTGATCCGAAGAGCAGCTTGTTGACCCTTGGCAACGGAACCAGCTCTTCCAGTGGGGCATGTTTTCTTATGGGGGGTTTCAACCCAATAGAGAGGACCGAGAAGGAGAGGGGGGAAGCAGAAGTCATGGAAAATGTTACGAGACCAGTGTGCTTGCAACAGAGCGTCCTGTTTGGTAAAACGCGTTGCAGTCTGAGCTCATGTGATTTGGAAGAATCTTGTACATGTAGTCAGTCATGTGCTGTGTGAACTGGATGATGGGAATTGGCTGAGATGAAGAAAACTTGGAAGAGCACACTGAACACTGCACAGACATTGATTCTGGGGGGATTTGCCTGTGTGGGTGGCAGTCTGGGGAGAAAAAAAATTGACTGTTTGCAACTTAGAAACATCAGCTGCCGAATGATGGACACACTGTCTGACCTTGAGGCATGGCTGGGTTGAGGAATCAGTAAATAAGCTCTTATTCTCCTCTCACTGTGGCAGTTGTTTCTGTGGGGGGGTCAATTTTTCCAGTATAGTGATCGTGTATTTTTAAGGAAGCTTTATGATATAGTAATTATGTAAAATATTTTTAAGGAAACTTTATGCTACAGGCTTGCCTTTGACAAAAACACGCGGTGTGGACTGCCTGGCTAATTTAACTGCATTTTTGTGCATCTGCTTGGATAACAGGCCTTGACTTAAGGGAGTTTAGAAATACAGGTGGGTGCTTTGCTTAAGAGGGAAATTTCAAAAGCTATCATATTATTGAGACTTAATGAATTTTAATTTTGCTACTATTAAAGTAATTCCTAACTCCTGTTAGGAAAACAGGCCGCCTAACATTCCCTTTAAAATTTGAATAGCTAGCTGTGGTGCTCAAGTATTACACTGAAATACCTGAAAACAGGTAAACATGTTCTTTATCATCTCTACTACTTCTGTGGGTGGGTTTTTTTTTTTTTTTTTTTGGCTTGAGAGAGAGATGCAAATAGCAATTGAACTCTGGCAATTCCTGCTCTCTCCCATTGCTGCCTCATGGCTCCTGGCTTTGCTCTTCCTTCTTCCACCTTTTCCCTGCCGTGGAGAGCTTTCAGCTTCTCTTGCAGGTGCCAGCAGCCCTGATTAAACAATGCAGAAAACTACTCCACGTCAAGTTATTTTTAATCTAAGCTGTTATGGAAACTGCCAAGTGAAACTGCCAGAGTTATCTGCAAAGCTTGAGAAATTATTCTAACCTAATTCAGCTAGGACGGAAAATGCATTCAGCAGCACAACTGTGTTTATCTAATCTTGCTGCCAAAGCAGTCGCTTGTGCGAATAACTAAAACTTTAGGTGCTTAGTCAAATAAGGACAAGGCATTTGATCAACAAATCATTAGAGAAAAGAAAAGGCTTTTTATATGCTGAAGGTCTCTCATTTGATAGCACTCAGTCACCCAGTAATTGAGTGCTGTGGCTTTGTAACCTGTCAGTGTTGAGCCTCACGCTGTTTTGTTAAAACTTCTTAGGGAAACTGCTCGAGTAAAGGCTACAGACCTGCACTTGAGTGTACATGAAGTTAGAAATACGGTGCCTGGCTTCTCATTAGCTGTGTGTGTTGCAGAGAGCCTTTCATCTCGGAGGGCTTTGAAAGCGCTACCCGCGCTTGCGCTCTTGCCCGCGCCGGGGAAGCTCGACTAAAATCAATCTGTCACTTTAGGCTCCAGCTCAGTAGGCCAGAGTTCCAAAAACCACTGCTGCTGATGGCTTGAAGTTTAAAATGCTGCTATGGATAACCAGAGTGTGTGGGGAAACTCAATTCTTGAACCTTTAGCAGTTTAACAGGCCCTTGTTATTGAAACAAGAAAATAACTCTTACTAGTGTTTTTTGTCAGATAGGAATGTCAATATTTTTAGGTAAAAAGCATCTTTGTTTACATTCAGAAATATATAAAAAGTGAATTTGCAGCATAGCCTGGCTTTAGTCTGTACGTGCAATAGCTGTTTTACCCTTTGACAACAGATTACATTAAACACTCTTCCTGCTGCTTCATGCTGTAGAAGGCATCAGTTTGGGAACCAATTTGTGCGGGGTGGAATTATTTGACTGTTCTAGTAAGTGTCCAAACCCCTCTGCCCTCTGAACCATGACCGTGTGAACTGCACATCCCACCTGGGTGGGGGGAATTCACCCTCCTTCAGCATTTTTTAGCTGAAATGGCGTCAGAGCTTCCCTTATGCTGCAGCTTTATAATGCACATGTGCTGCTGCCTTCCAGCCCTCTGGCAGCAGAGGCAGGTGTAACATCCTGAAGTTCATCTGAAATATGGAGATAGAGGAATCTGAGGCAGGGTTTAAGGGTGAACGCTAAGTGCATGGGAGCTGGAAAATGCTGAGTGGAGCTGAGTGCAAACTGAATCTTTTATTTTCTGGCTGCTTTGCTTCATACTGTAACGTTGCATAAGACACTCTCTCCTACTTTTTAAATATATTGAAAATAGAGATAAACAGAAGTCAAATTGGAAGACACTGTTTATTAATACGAACTCTTCCTTTTGGTAGCCGAGACTGACTGTCCTACGAATAAATAAAATGCAGAAGAAGCTGTGCTGCTACTGACTCATCATCTGCTGGGAATCCTCCCTTGTGCACAGCACCTTTTCTGCAAGGGAGGAAAAGGAAATTCTGCATAGCCACAGTTTGCGAGTTGAGTAATAGCTGGAGCCGGGAGCCTGCCCTGGAAGCTCCCAAATTGTGGAGCTCTTCAAGGGGGAGGTGGCTTTGGTGGCTCCCCTGCCCATGGGGAGAGGGCAGCGGCGGTTCAAGTGCTGTCACAGAAGCAGTTGTGGAGAGGATCCAAGGAGGAGGCGGCTGAGGAGGCCTCACGGAGCGCGCGGCGGGACACGGATTCGTGCGCCAGCGAGGCCAGAGCAGCACGGGAGGAGCGTGTGGCAAACCTGCCTGCTTCTCAGCAAGCTTGAGAGGGCAGATGCTCAAAGGAAGGAAAGTGTCTTCCTGTGGTAGGAGGGGTTTGACTCTTGCTGCTGTTACTAGAGGAGAGGTGCTTCAAGGAAGGTTGAGGGCTTCACCTTACTCCCATTTCCGTGTCTGAAGTGACAGCTCTATGGTCACAATACAAAAATGCTCCTTCCCTTTCCTTCTATTTTCCCCCTTCAGGAGGAAGCTCTGCTCTCTTCCGACCTCTCGGAGGGTCAGAGGTGTTGGTGTCTCCTCGGTCAAGGCTGAAGCTTCTCAGCTCACAGAGGAGGTTGATGAGGCCCCTCCTGAGGAGGGGTGACCTCAGCCAGGCTCCTGCGTGCCAGGTCCTCCCGATGCTCCTGCGGGCCTGGGGACAGGGACAGGCTCGTCAGCGTTGCGGGAGTCGTGGGCAGTGAGGGAAGGACACCAGCTGCGGGAAAACTTCTCTGCCTTTATTCGGCCTCTATTCGACCTTTCAGGAGATGGTGGATGGTGAAAGCTGCATTTCTCTGGTGTGGGAGATTGGAGACTGGAGGGGAAGGATGACTTTGGGAAACACTGCTCCAACAAATGCTGAGAGTTTTGGCTTTCCTACTGAAATAATTGTTTTTTGGCATGTAATATGGTTAAATATTTTTCAAATTCTTTATCTGCCCTTTATTTATGGAAACTTCTTTAATGTAAGCTCGAATTGAGTACCTTGTCTGGTTGCACAGTCAGGTTGCAGGCTTTTTCTAAATATAGCTTGTGCTTGTTTTGTTTCTGTCCTTTTCCCCCCACACACACTTTTTTCCAGCCTTAAGCAAGCTTCTTGTTCTTTTGCCTTGCAGGCTCCAGATAAAAGGAAAGCGTTGGAAGAGACCAAAGCCTACACAACTCAGTCTCTAGCCAGTGTTGCTTATCAGATCAATGCACTGGCCAACAATGTATTACAACTGCTGGACATTCAAGCTTCTCAGCTACGGAGGATGGAGTCTTCCATCAACCATATCTCCCAGGTAACCTTTTTGCTTTTAAGAAAGGATTGATAGTATTGGAAGAAGCATCATCTGTCTTTTAGTGTCGTTGAGAGAAGGATAGTTTATGACTTTGACTTCTCTGAATAAAATGATAGAAATCTGCAAGGCTTTAATATTTATGAAAGTGATTTTGCTCTGGAGATCATGATTAAAATAAAACAGTTCCTTTCTCAAGAAGTGCTGGGTTTCTATTTGGTTTAAAGCAAGATCTCCAGATTTGAAGCTGCAGCGGGGGGAAGGGAAGGGAGAAGGGCCCTCTTTCTGGAGGAAGTGCGGGTAGAAGCACTATGTGAGCAGTGTTATCTTGTGCTGCTGTGGGTGTTGGCAATATGGTCTCATTTGGTTTTGTACCCTCGCAGGGTGTAATTTCCTAAACTGTGTGAACTGTGTGGGGTGGGAGAGAAGTTTCACATTCTGCCACTTCCTCCTCAAGACAAACTGTCCAGACCAAGCCAGGTGGATAAGTGAGCTGAACTGTCTTGCACCACAGCTGTACCGTTGCTGCAGGGAAGGCAGGGGAAGAGCTCATAGGAAGGAAGAGGCCTGTCCCCCTCGGTGGCAGCTTGAGTTCCTGTCGCTGAAGTTTCACCCTAGGTGGCTGCTGCTGAGAGGGAGAAGTTGCTACTGCTGCCTGCTCAGAGACTTGCCTACTTGTGCAGTAACTCGGCCAAAAAAATCCTGCTGAGTTAACAGGCTGCACGTGGCTGACTGTAATCAGGTGGGCCCAGCAGTACTGCAAAGGAAGGGAGAGGATTCACTTAGCTGTTTAACCCTTACATTGCAGTTCTGAAGTAGGTTTAAGCCAGTGTCATTGGGCTCAAGCCCAGTGTTCACTGTCATATTTTCTTACTGAGATTCGGTTGCATCTTTCCTAGGCTTTGTCATGTGTTTATCTGAAGTATTTCATGAATGATTCTCAGAGGATTAAACCCAAAGTGCTGGTGAATTTAAAACCTTTGTTGGTGAAGCAGTGCTATGTTAGTTGGATACCTTACACGGAATACTGTGCTGTCCCTCTCCCTGATGGCCTTGTCAGCCTCCGCTCACTGTTCTTACAGAACAAAATACATTTTAACGCATTTCTGCTAAATAGCAATGCAGTGGTTGGCTGAAAGAGATCAACAGATTGGCTGACAGATGCCAGAAGATTCTCCTGTATGTGAAAAGGCTTTACTAGTAACAAATATTTCTAAAATATTCCAGATGCCAGAAGATTCTCCTGTATGTGTAACAAATGTTTAGTAACAAATATTTCTAAAATACTAATCAATAAAGTAATATATTGGACATACAGAGTATAGTATATAGTAGTTCAAAAAAGAAAGACACACTATGCAGTGCTAAAATCTGTGTCACATGTTTTAAGAAGTACCTGCTACTTAAACAGTTAAATAGGAAAGAAGTAAAATTGCTCTGGAGAAGTTTCTTGTGCTGTCAGGCATTCAGAGATTCTTGATGTTTAGATTATGCCCGCCTCCAAAGAGGTGACTGGGTAAGGGATAAAACCTACTGAATTCCTGCCTCTGTTTCCAAGTAATACGTTTAGCCAAAGGTCCTGTTACACTGAGCACGTTTTTGTGCGTTTCGGAGCGGAAGTGTGTGGAATGATTACTGTTAATTTCTCTTTGGGACACCGATATGACTCGGGTGGAGAAAACCAAAATGTCTGATACTAGCACAAAAGGTGTTAACCCCCTGTACTGTTCTCGACCGGAATGGAAGGCACTTTGCTGCAAGCTGTTGAGTCACCTGCTACATGAACTGTTTGCTAAGGACCCGGAACAATCGGCGCTTTGTGGAGCTGCTGAGGAGCGTTCAGCAAGGTCAACCGTCCTCTCTGAGGCTGGCCTGTCCTTCCTGAAGCTTATCCTTGTTTATAAATGAACATCTGATTACTAATTTTATAGCACTAAACTGGATGCAAATAATGTACTGCATGTACTATCTCATCTATTTATTTTTTTTCATTTGTCTGCTTCATGTACATGTAAAAATCTGTTGAACAGTTGCTTGCTGGGCTGCTTCCATATTCTGATAGGTCTTCCGAGTGTCTTCTCCTCATGCTTGTATCAGTCATGAATATTTTCATGCCAGCGAAGCATGGAGGTGAATATATTCTGAAAATGCAAGTATTGATAGATCATGATGACAGGCAGGATGGTATGTGGTACATATCTGGACAGTTTCTGTCTTCCCATCTGTCCGCAAGACGCGGTATATTATCCTGAGGAACTTCACTGCCTAAGAAATATAGGTTTGACTTCATTCCCAACCTACTTCTGTACATAGGAAGTAACTGTAACTGATACTTTCAGATTTTCATGGAAGAAGTATTGTGCAGAAATACAATTTTGAGGCATTGCCAGTCAGTGAGTTCTGGATTTTGCAATATAGAACAGATACCTGTGATAAAAGCTACAGTTTTATTAAACCTTTCTAGTAATAAACACTGTGCAAATCTTGTGGCTCTTCTGATCTGCTGGCAGTTTCTGCCCCCCTCCAGACCTCTGCCACGCTGTGCCTAACTCTTTCAGTTCTCTTTGTCTTCCAGGCAGACTTTAGGCTAACTGGCTGCTTGGCTTATCTTCATTAGTGGCCACTCAACACTTTTCCCACTAAAGAAGGTACTGCATTTATAGGAAAACACTCATGAAAATGTCAGGTGAAGAAGTGGGTGGTATGGTGCATCTGTTGCAGCTCAATTCTACAGATGGAAAACCTACCTGTTTTTTCATTGAATTCCACTTTTTTTTTTGAATTCCACTTTTTGGGGGGGGAGGAGGAGGAGGGGAGTGACAAGCAGAGAGACTTTGCGTAAGTAATAACTTAGGGGTGAGAAGAGCCGCTCTGAGCACATTCTACCTGGGAACATCTCCAAGAGAGACTTCTGCTTTGGCTGCTAGATAAAAGCCAGCTCAAATGTATGTATGTTTCTTGCAGTCGCATTTGTCTTTCAGCTGTAACTGGAGGGTCTGGAGCAGCCTGTCACATTGTTATTTACTGCATCTCGGGATACAGAGCTGAGTGCTCAGAGCTCAGCTGCTTGGTTCAGCCCTTGATGTTGACTTTGAGCTTTGCCAAGCTGATCTGAGCTTTCCAAGCTGTCCTTGTATGGCAGAGTGGAGACTTGATTAGTGCTCTGGAGAGGTTTGCAAACCCTTCCATTGCAAGAGATGCTGCTACTCCTGTTAGGCGAGGCTTGGGGAAGAAGGTAGCTAGAGTGCATCTGGGACCACCCTCAGCCTGAGGATGTCTGTTGTATTAAGGCATGTGTATTTTTAGGCCTCCCTACTGTAAATTTTCTACAGCAGTCACAGTTACACTGTGTGTTTCTATTTGATGCTTTGGTTTGGCTTTATATTTGCCTTGGATAGCCTTGCTTGGAGGTATGTTTAGTTTCAGGTAAGGAGTTTGTGTAGTGGGTGAGGGCAGAGCCAGTGCCAGCGCCAGCGATGCAGTGTTAGGATGTGCTGTTCCTACCTCCCCTTTGGGACACTGGGGTAAAAAGGCAGTGGTGGAAGGACTGGAGCCCCATGTGAATCCTTGATTTTTCTCACCTACAAATTCTGGATCACAACAGAGAGCAGTTCTACTATACGATAGCCAATAGCCCCCAGTTGCAGTGACCAAAAGGTTCTCCAAGAGTAACAGCTGGATCAGTGTTATCTGGGTTTTCTGTTTTCTTCGTAGCAACTAAAATGTAAGGTATCTGGAACAGGCACTCTTCTCTTTTGTAGTGGCTTTAGGGAAGTCAAATGAACTTAAGAACTGGGCAGTGAAAGAGAAAAGGAGTAGCTGAGGCTCAGCCTGCACTAGGAGGTGGCTGGAAGGGCCTGGGGTGTTCAGGTGGGGAAAGGAATGGAGACCTTAACGCTCAGTCCCCTGTGTTTCCTGGGGCATTGTCCAGTTCGGTCACTAGGCTACAGGATTTTTCATGTTCCCTGATCATGAATTGGGCAAGGCTCCTTCCACTTGTGATCTGAACGTGGTTTATGCTTCATTATATTATTTCTTATGATATATATTATAATATATATTATATATAAAATATATGTAATATGATATATATGCTTCTTATTTCTTCTTAAATGAAGCTCTGGTTGGCTGTTTAAATCATTTGTGTCATTTTTGCCTTGGTTCCTGAGCCAAAACTTCTGAATACTTCTTTCAGAGTTGATTCTTTTTAATAAATAAAACGAGAATCTTGCCTCTGAAATTACGATTTTCAGTGGAGATGTTCAAAATGCAGCTTGTTCTGGTTTAAACTTTTGACAAGGGAAAGTTGCCCCTCTAGAAAATGCTTTTTGGCTTATGCCATTTCTGGGTTGCTCTCTGCTCAAGGAAGCAAAAGCTAACTTAAGAAACATGTACTTTAAGATAACTCCTTTTTTTTCCTATTTCATTTCCGCAAGCTTAAAAGAATAAAGATGAGAGAGAGATGGATTCATCAGAGGAGAGAAAAGTTGACAGGGTCATCCTTGTTTATGTTGTCAAAACTGAAAAAAATGTAGCAGATCAGCGCTGGGGCTGGTGTCAGAGCAGCTGCAGGCCTGGGCGGAGCAGCATTTTTCTTTTTTCTCCTGGACATAAACAGTTTTAAAATAGCTCAGTATTTCAGTCCATGTCTACTGAAGCAAGAATAAAGAAAAAGACTCCTTTTTAAGAGATAACATTTTTGCATGAGGAAACACCGCACCCCTTAAACATTCAGAGTTAATACTTTCTTCTGTCTCTGAAACTTCTAGTGACTGTTACAGACCAGTAAATTCTGAAAACACAGTTTTCAGTGAGAAAATATCTGCATCTTTTGTGTTGGCATTAAAAGAGATGGAAGCTTTTAGAACTGAAAATTGCAAAAAGCTCAGAATTAGTTGAGAAGAATTTTGCCTGTCAGCACCCCTGTCTGATTCACTGCCTGTGTGATTGAAGGGGCAGTAATGGAACACACGGACTGTCTTTCCTTGTGGGCTCCTTCCCAA